CTGTTTAGAACAAGAAATTCCGTTACATAGTCCGTTATATTGAGACCTATTTTTGGCATATAAAGTGGTCGAATTGGAGAATGATGTCTGAACCAAAGTTGTAACCAAATGAGTTAGATTTCCAACGCATTTTGAATTGCTTCAATCGGATATCGGAATACAAAGTTATGATAAAAACACTGAAAAAAGGTGCACCTGCTTATTTAAAACAAGAAATTCCGTTACATAATCCGTTAAAACAACAAATTCCGTTAGTTTTTCCGTTAAAAACAAGAAATTCCGTTATATAACCACTTTTAATATATAGAAGATATATATATGATAATCATTTATATTAAGCTCTTGTTTGGTCTCAATTATTTACAAAATACATTTTTCTCTCTTATTTTCAATCACGCATTCTTCAATAAAATAATATTAGACGTAAATTCAAAACTTTTCTTTATTTTTTAACCACACGTCAAATCATTATTTTAAAATGCATTTTTGAAAAAATTAAAAAATAAAGGTGAGGCTCAAACATGTTGTAAATGAATATAATTTAATTTCCAATTAAGTGAAATTGAATGTTACTTAGCATATACGGACTTGAATAATGATTTATATCCTTCAATTTGAAATTTTAATTAATATTAATTACATGAATGCGAATGTTAATTCATTGAGAATTAATAATAGAGATGTGGACGTGGACTTGAATGTGAAATTTTAATTAATATTAATTAAATGAATGTGAATGTTAATTAATTACAGTATTTATTATAATTTGTAAATTAAATATATATTTAAAAATGAAAAATGAGATATTATCGAAATAATTGCCATAAAAATAATTTCCACATGATACTTATTACATTACAGATATTTCCGCAAAAAATTTGATTTTTAACCCCGATTAATTGAAATTCACGACGACTAGCACGTTGAATTTTGCGTCTGTCACTATCTGCAACCTCTTTTGGCGAGAATCCCACCTCAACTGTTCGGCTGCAGACACGCGGCAGAAGTGCCACCATCTCATGACACGAAACCTTCCCCTCTTTTACTGTTTCAAAATTTACAGACATTTCTTCCTTCGTCAACAAGATTACAAGAAGCAGGCAGATAAACCAATTATATACTCTCATAGTCTCTGTGTTGCCATTTTACCCTCTCAAGTTTTTCTGTATTTGCTCGGTGAGTCCATGTATGGACCATGGCAGCCCCGAATATCGGTTCGTATGGAGTTTTATCTCATTTTTACCCTTCTTTCTCTTGCTCTTCACCCTTGGCCTTCTCAAAGGTAGTTCTTCTTTCTCTTTTCTTTAAGATTTGTTGCTCTGTGTTAACTACTTTCAATGCAATAAAAACGCCATAAACCAATTTTGATTGCGTAATGTCAGCAATGTTCTTGTAGTGGAAGCCTGCGTACTTGAACAGGCTTAACTTCAATTTTATTTCACATTTATGAGATTTTTTTTTTATTTAAAAAATGTAAAGTTGGACATCCAATTGTTGGAGTGAAGGTCTCCTAAGTAGAAAAGTATGCCTTTCCATGGTCACTTTGATGATTTAGTAAAGATTTTGATTAAGAGAAATAGATTTGAATTGGATTCTAATGTGTTACCTGATAAGGTTAATGGTTTGCTCCCTATATAGTTGATGGAGTGCTACAGATTGCATATTCAGTCGATGTATCCCTTAGCAGAGATAAACATTATCTAGCTAGTTGAAATATATTCTATCACGAGGAGAGTCTTCATTGTTATGCGAGAGAGACACCGTTTGAGGTAGGCTTATCATGGATATGCCTTTAGCAGTCTTCATTTGATCACTACGCACGCCCAAGGTTGGTAGATAAGCTGGCTTGATCTGGGCCATGTTTGGGCGTTCACTCAGCTAAGTTGTCTCATCTGATCAGCTTCTGTCACTACAATACTCGCACAAATTAAGCCAACTCAATTTCAGCAAGTTTTGGTCATGGAGTCCAAGATTTGACAAACCCTGCTATGAATAGCTGCCTTAGAGCCTACTGGATTTCAAACCTTAGGTTTAAATCCAATCTAAACAATTCGAGGATCTGGACTTGATGGGTATACCTATAATCAAAAATCTAAGTGAGTTGGATTTGACATAACAAGAAGAGTTAGCGGGACAAACAAAATAGCAAGTCAAATGAATGAGAAAATGGTGTCAGAGAAATTACTAGTCCCAGGAATATTTTGGATGTGATTTCATATATGTCGATTATGAAGTCGCTTGAAAGGATGTAAACCAAGCCCACCATGGTATGAAATTTCTATATGGGTTTTATAATAAAGTTGGTTATCTAAAAGAATATAGCACTTCAGCAAGCTTGGTGTGAAAATTGCTATATTGTTGGTGAATCAAAAGGAGAATCAGCTCGACCTAGAACTCACTTTCATTTATACCAGTGCTAGTGATGGAAGTTGATGACATTAGCTCGAGGGTACATTTGCATGCAGTGAACTAGACCCATGACCAATGTCACGGCATCTCTGAATTTGCATCCCTTAATGCCAAATTTTGTATAAATGCCACGCGTGCACATATTCTGTATTTGTATGTTCGTTAATAATGCTGTTAACATGCAGAAGGGTCTTGTTAAAAATCACAGCTACAATTCTGAAGACAAATTTCTAGTCTATCAAATAAGCACATATACTAACAACTGAATTTACTAGAAAACTTTATTTTGTATATAGGCTAAGACCCCAAGTGATGGGCCTTGGACCACCGTTTTTGTAGAATAGTTGAACAAACTTTGACCATCTGATGTGGGACAACTTCAAAGCACCCATGACTCAATCAGAATCCCCTCTCTCTTGAGGCAACTTACGGGTTTAATATCTTAATCAAGCTTAGTACTTCCAATAAACTGCAGGATTGTAATATTCAGTGAAATGGGACTCAAGAAATTGAAATGTAAATGTGAGGGTTAACTGCATTTATTTTCTGGAGTAGTTGTGAGACCATACAGGGGGTGCTTGCCCCACTATAATCTTTGCACGGTGCAATTGTAGCTTTGTTATCTAAATTGAGCTACTCAAAATAAGACAATGGGAACACTCCTCTTAAGTTCTCTCTCTGCACGCTACAATAGAAGATTTTATAATGTCATTTTTGTGCTCTGGGAAATGCCAATTTATCCTTCACAAAGTCATTTTTATCTATCTACACCTCCAATCTCACCACAGCTTTCCTAACACCCCACCTTTGCCACCACCTCCTTCTAACCCCCACCTCTGCCCGAACCCATATGAGGTAGAGGTGGCTAGTATAGCAGGGAGTTGGTTGTGACGTGCTTTATCCACATGTTAGCAACATCTCTGTTTTGTTATAGAGGCAGAATTAGGAAAGACAAGAAATAATTCCTTATAGCATTTGCCAAGAAGAACGAATGGGGAAAAAACCGTGTCTTTGAAGCTTATAAGTCTATTCAAAACCGCTACCCGTAGGCATTCATTAATATTTCAAAGAATCATCAATGATTAAGAGGAGGACCCTGGGAAAAACATTCATACTTCAAAAATAATAATTTTTATGCTTCTATAAATTCAATTAGATCCTCTGAGTTCTTTTTTTGATTTTAAACAATTTCTTGGCATCTGTTTGGTTGGCTACCTGTTGGGAGTAGATAGTAGTCAGTAGATATATATCTCAACTGTCATCCTTGTGTCTTATCCTTTTATATTGGAACTTAATGCGGGTTAAAATGTTATGATATGGCAAGTGCGCAATATTTGACCATATTCATTGAACTCTGAAACTGGTGCTTGGGCAGGGTTGATCATATGTCCAATTGTGGTTGGCATCATAGCAGTTGGAAACTCAGCAGTGGTGATTGGACTTTGGCCCGCCCATTTTATTTGGACATACTACTGTGTAGCAAAGTCTGTTTCCACTTCACTTGTCTTATCCTGTTTATTTCTAACATCCACGATTCTGACGCACATCACAATTTAGTCCTTTCAAGTTCTTCACAATACTGGTTGATGATGATTTGGCATTCAAAACAGAAGCAAGAGGCTAGGATGGATTTTGAAGATTATGGTATTTTTGTCACTGCTAATTCCCTTGATCCTGTGGCCCATCATTGCAATTCTTGGAAGTATCCTTGGTGGGATAGGATATGGGTTTTTTGCTCCCCTGATCGCAACTTTTGAGGCTGTTGGAGAAAATGTGACTGACAAATTTTTCCACTGCTTTACTGTGAGTCTCCATCTCTACTTCTTCCTTCATACTTTCTTGGATCTTCATCTTTTTCAAGATAAACCTGTAGTTTTATTATGCTTTTCTTGTCTAATTTATGCAGTACAGTACTTTTTTTGCTACTTTATGTTCATAAAAACTAAGGATGGTTTATGAACTATGTTTGTTTGTTATAGTCGGTGATTGTAGCCCATTTATAATGCTTACAAGGGAGAAGGAAAAGGAAATTATGGTATTCTTTGCTTGGAATGGCTCCAATTAGTCAATTGCTAATTCTACGAAATTATCGTATTTAGACATATCCAATCAATTAGCAAACAATTATAGAAAATAAATACAAAGTCAACTAGACCCGAATCTACTCTTCGTAGAATCGACCATGGATATCTTCTTTTTTCAGAAGTTGAAGGACAGCCGATAGTTTCCAACGAAGACTGGACTGCAGTATCTTGATTTGATACAATTGAAAAAGGAAAAAAATCTAAAAATCAAAATAATTGAAGTTTTTCTTTTTGGAATCATGTTAGGTCTAATTCCTACTTACCGACCGAGATAACATTTCCACCAGATGCCAGAATAAAGGGGAACTGCGTATTAAATTGAATCCCAGCATATACAGACTCGTGACAAAACGTCCTTCATTCTCTGCTTGTTTCTGATAGATTGGAATGGATGAGATTCAATTCCTCTTGGTCAAAATGTCAGCCATCTGTCATTCATAGGACTTATAAGTGTGGATATTTATCCCTTAGCTAGTTCTCCTTGGTGAAATGATGATTAACTTCAATTAGCCTTTTATTAAAGGAAATTATTCTTTTTGAAGCCTGGAATTACTCCAATTAGTCAGCTTCTAATTCCACCAAGTAAACACCAAGTCAACTGTTCAGAAAAGGAAAGAATCCTGAATCAAATCTCAAACCAATACAAGCTATATCTGGATATTAACGAATAGATTTTTTAACTCATTCTTCATTCAGATAGCCTAAGTCTGTGAACGAGTTTATACTGAAAACATCATATGTGTGTGTGTGTCTGTATATACGTAGATACTAATTTTGGTTTGCAAGATGTCTTGACTGCTCTAAACGGCTTTCGCAGTTTTTCCAATAATTACAGTGACTAGGTTGAGGTTTACAGATGCATGGTGGTGGTTGTGTTTTCAGCTGGTTTTGTGGTATCTGTTTTTCTTAAAACTAGTTTCCATCGATTGACAGTTTGCAAAATTATCAGGATGGTTGTTGTTCCACTCTTGAAGGCAGCTGTACAGTGGTTCGGGATTTTACAGATTTTTGCTTCCATTCCTACTTCTCCTACATGGATGAACTGATTGAAGAAGGACACGAAGATGAGAAGCCTATGGACATAAAGTAAGATAATCACGACTCAAAATAATTTTTCTTTAGAAGTAGTGAGATACTTAAAAGAATATTTCTCTACAGGTTAACTTTATAAGCATATATTTTTTATGTTGTCAACTTCAGGTTATCAAAGCTCCCGAGCTGTCTTTTGGTTTCTGTTCTTGCTATTCTTGTAGATGTTCTTCTCATCTCTGCAGTTGCTCTTTGGAAAAGCCCATACATGTTATTCACGGGGTGGAAGAGGCTATTGGAGGACTTGGTAGGGAGGAAAGGCCCATTTCTGGAGACAGTATGTGTCCCATTTGCTGGCCTAGCAATCCTTTTATGGCCTTTAGCTGTAATAGGAGCCGTGATGGCTGCTTTCTTCTCCAGCTTCTTTCTTGGTCTTTATGGTGGAGTGATTGTCTACCAGGTTATCAGCTTCTTTCTCCAGACTCCCATTTGTCTCAAACTAAAAAAAAAAAACAGAGAATGAAAAAATAGAAATCGTCCATTTTTCTTTTGCATGATGATCAAAGTATTTAATATTAGACTTAAGAGAGGTGGTTGATCAGTTGTGATCATTATATTCTAAGCAAAAAAAAATTATGAGTGTGCAGGAAGATTCTCTTTGCATGGGGCTTGCATACATTGTGGCAGTCATATCTCTGTTCGATGAATATGCAAACGACTTACTTTATTTGAGGGAAGGGTCATGCTTTCCCAGGTATCTTCTGAGATGGATTCTTCTTTTTTTTTCCGTTACTTTTTCCTAGTGGAAGTACACTATCCTTGACCTTCTTAGACAGAAATTTCTGAATGTAAACAATAAACTTGATCGTGAATGTGTGTGACAGCCAGGCCTCGTTACCGGAAAAGCTTGAGTCCTTCCAATGGCCTTGAGAGAATAAAATCACTTGACAGGAAAGCTGGAAGAGAAGGTTCACGCAATTCAAAGCTTGTTTCAGAAGGATCAAGAACAGTAAAGCAAGCTATACAACAATACACACCAATGCAGGTGAGTGGTCTCTAGAATATAACTTAAAAGGATCATCTGGTTGGGGGCATTTGGAATTTCAATATGGCAATTGACAGGTATGGGATTGTCTCTTTAAATCTTGCGAAATTAATGGAAAAATGCTCCTCCAAGAGGGTCTGATAAATGTCAAAGACATTGAGGAATGTATTCTGAAGGGAAATTGTAAAAAGCTGGGCATCAAACTGCCTGCTTTGTCCATTTTGCAATGCCTTCTTGCATCAGCAAAGTCTGGTGGTTCTGGTTTGCTCATCTGTACGTTCTTATTCTGGATTCAGATTTGTTTTTGGTGGATTAGTTGTTCATTTTGAAAAAACAGTAGTTTTATATTTTTTCTAGCTGATGAATTGGAATTGACCTGGATTAATCGGCCAAGAGATAAATTTTTTGATTGGTTCATCGGGCCACTCTTAACCATGAAGGAGCAGATAAGGGGACTTAAACTGGAGGAAAATGAGGAAATTTGCCTGAAAAAGCTGATCATGGCTTGCAAAAATGATAGACCTGAGGAATGGGATGACACTGGATTCCCATCAAGTGACAATGTAAGAAGAGCACAACTGCAAGCTGTAATTAGGAGGTCAGTCCAAGATGACTATATCTACTTTATTTCAGTTAACTCTACTTTGGTTACCATTTATTTGCCCATTTCACTCGTGCAGCACATTTTCCTACTTTGGCCTACTGGTAGCTTTTTGCGTCTTTTTAATGACTTGTTTCTTCCCGTTCTTGCATTCTGAATCCCATCAACTTCAGCCCTTGTCCACGTTTAATTCATGTTCGAGAACTTTTGATGTCAGATATAAATATCATGCCGCTGTGTCGACCACTTTTCTGACTTGTTTCCACAGTAAAGAATTACACATAATAAGATTAAGGTTGGATGCTTTTCAGTAATTTCTCTTGTTAGGCTGTCCGCTTGAAATTGCTCCAGCTAATCTGAATGATGAATCACCATATACATGATTATTAGGATTCTGTTGCATTTTCAAGCGTATCTTTGGAGAACAAAAAGGAAAAACAAATAAGCCCCTGTTTGACTCTCTTTAAACCAAAACAATCTATTTCTCATACTCATTTTCAACCACACATTAAAATATTTTACACGTGAACCCAAAAAATTTTCTGTTTTTTTATCACACTTTCTACAAAAAATTCACTATTCAAAACATCATTTTTCCAAGATTTCTCTTTATAATTGCCATCAAAAGGGGCTAAATAATTATTGTGATAATGAATTCAAAGCCCAGAAACTTGGTAACTGGAAAGTGAAAACAGACATTTCCATGAACTAATTTGCCTCATACATCTTCAATCTTTCTAGCCAAATAAAAAGTAAACATTTCTATAACGAGTTTTATTGGTTCAATTCTGGATAGTCAACCTGCATAACATTAACTCTTTGTATTGACTATAGATTACATGTGAATTTGCCAAATTATATGTACTAGTGCTAAATGTTAACTCCTGATTGGCATGATTTCAGAGTGACCTGTACTTTGAGCATCATATCATGCATGTTTGAACTTGTTCAATTAAATTCTTCAGAAGATAATATTATTTCTGAACTTTTGATCCGTGTGTTGCATCTGGTTGGTCTAGTACTGAATTGCAATTTAACTGCTGTGTTTAGCTTGAATTAGTGTACCTAAATGCATGCTTCTATACAACAGGCTGCAAGGAATTGTTGGTTCCATGTCCCGGATACCAACATTTAGACGTCGTTTCAGGAATTTGGTGAAGATGTTGTATATAGAAGCTGTGCAGACTGGTCTTTTGGTGGATCATGCTTCTGGTTCATCAAATTCTGGACGTGGTAGCAGATCCTATCAAAGAGGGATCAGAAAAGATAAGGATACAGAGGACAGTAAGGAGATTACTCAAGACATTGTAAATGCAGTGTGATTATAAATCACAAGAGTTTCTCCAGCAACTTATGATACGAGTTAACTTCTTCTATTGCATATTGTTCATTTGTATATTTTAGCCTAGTATTTTGAATTATGTGATTATGTGGTGTTCTTGAAAGTGTTGGCAAAAAGGTTTGTGATGATTGTGTGCCTAACCTTGTACGACTAGGCTGGGTTGCTCAGCGTGGTTTGCAGCGCTTCTATCTCACGACTCATTGATGATCAGGCAGCAATGGGAGGTGATTTCAAGGATAAACAAGCTCAGCAACACAGACAGGCTTGGGATTCATGTACTACTATATATCTATTTCTATGTGGTGTATTGGTAGAAAAATCACCCATCGAGTATAAGTTACTGCCTCCGCTCCATCAACTGGTCTTCTATGTAAAAAGTACCAGTCACCCAATCAACAAAATCTTTGTTGAATTTTGCAAAATGTACCCTGGCGTTTACACGTCCGGGTACACGACCCCACCGCCCCCCTCGCAATGAGGGGGGCCCATTGTGAGGGGGGGCGTGGGGTTGGGTTGGGTACACGGGCGTGTACGAGCATCTTTCGTCTTTGTTAGCTCTAGACATTTTTAAATACTCAAATCAATTTTGAGTGCTCAAAAGTTCATTAAAGATTAATCAGTTACATTTGTGGTAGAAGCACAAATTGATCTCACTGTTAAATAGAGAAAAATGTTACTTGTGGGGGTAAAATGGTCTTTTTACACTACCATCTGGCTGCGGACAAATGAGGAGAGGCTATTGATGTGGTTGGTGTTGAATCTCAATCTATAATTTAATGGACTCACCTAATAATAAAGGCACTGTCCATTAGGGCAGAATTTAATCAGGGCTATGTTGGGCCACTAGAGCATATGAGCGAGTCTCCTAGTCAGGTAACATATCACGTGTGTGAGATTTTAATTTGAGTTAAAGTCAATAATTAATTTTAATTTTCATCAAACAGAGATTAAGGTTTATTTTTCCAAAAATAAATAATTAATTAATTAATAATAAAAAATCTTATTTTGTTGCTTGTATATGTGCCCTTTGGTGTACAATCTACTTGAGAAGTTTAACCAAAATCACTTATGATCCAAGTGAATAAATTGATATCCAATGTAAAAATGTTCCGTCTTAATCCTCTTTCCTTTTATTTTTCTTTTTGTTGATACTTTCTATCTATTTTAAAAGTGAAACGACTCGATAAAGTAAATTTATAACAAAGTTAAAACTTTAGACTGATCAATTAAATTTATTTATTTGAATGATATAATTAAGCCCTTGTACGACATCTTCTATTTCAAAACTCATTTTTCTGCATACTCATTTTTAACAACACATTTACACAATAAAATATTCTGTACGTAAATCCAAAAAATTTCCTTATTTTTTAACCACGTATTTTTATAAAAATTACCTTTGAAAATATATATATATATTTGTTGTTCGCATTTTTAAATATGCAAGACAAACAATACTTACACAAGTTTGACAAAATATATTTCTCACATTAACATGATATTTGGATAACATTTTGTTAAATATAGATGTAATAATTAATCGAAGGTTAAAGAAAAAAGTTGGAGATACAAGTGCAAAAAATTAAAAAATTTAAGGACTTCAATTATAATTAAAGTGTAATGCATTTGACAAAAAATTGTAGTGTGAATTAACCTAAATTTAGTCTCGCATATTTGATCCAAAAAAATTAATTGTTCACCTTTTCGGGACTTAACTTCGAAAAAAAAAGCTATTCGCACGAAGCCACATCGGCTCTGAAAAGCCCATGTGGTAGGTATAGAATAAAATTATTTTGTCAGAAAGATTTTACATAATTTCATGTGACAGTAGATAATTGAATGAAAAAATTATTTATATTTTAAATTGTTAAATAATAAAATTTCACATGATTATGCCATTTTTTATGTCAACATTAAATTGTGTAGTATAGCTAACTTTTCCATTTCATGAAAAGGACAGGTGCCACGTCAAATCCCGATTCTCTCTTTCTCTTGCACTTTTTATCCCTTTTGATCATTATTTTATTATTAAATGTTTTGTCAGAATTCACAGTTCAACGGAACAAGAACCCCCACAATACCTACCACCCAACCTTTTTTTTCCTGCGAATTTATCTCATATACATAATAAAGAGAAAAAGAGAGAATCTTTTCTGTTTTTAGGGTTTGTGTGTGTATGAAACTTGCTAAGAAAAGCCTCTCAATTTTGATTTCCTGGTTTACTACTTTGTGGTTTGACTGCCTTCCCTGTTAAATGAGGTAAATTCAGACCTTTTTGGGAAATGGGTTTGCTTAATAATTTTTTAGCTCTTTGAGATAAATTGTTGGGAAATCCAACTTTTGGTGCCTTGGAATTTTCGTTTTACTTCTCCATTGATATTTCAGTTTGCCTTGTTATATTTTCTGGAGAACGAAACTCTCAATTACGTTCTTTGCCGATGCTTGAATTTCGTTTACCCAAATGTTCCCGTGCAAGATTTAATTACTGATTTTGAGTAAAAAAAAAGTTAAATGCACCGTGTTATTGATTATATTCCTGGCCAGTTTATTCTTGATTCTAGATTCCCAACATGTTGGAATACCTTTCACCCTTTTTATTCTCAGTAGGTTTTGTTATTCCTTTATTATTTATTTTGTTATAATAATATAACATATCAACAGAGAATTTGGTCTGTTAGAGTGGGAGTATTAATTAATCATATTTTGGCTTGCAACCCCCCCTTTCTTTCACTGTTTTAAGAAGGTAAATTTCATTCTTGGACCAACCCCAGTACTCTTCCTTGTCCTGTCATTATGTAGAAGGTAGCACATAGTTAAATTTATTATTTCCAAATATTTTTCTCAGCTGATGCTCATAGTTTATTATTTCCTTTTGTCACAATTTTCGTTTTCACCTGTTAATGTAGACTCTTTCACCAAACAACGAAGAAAGTACCGGGATGTTCTTCGACTTCAATCCTCTCCCTGTAAAACAACCTGTTTATGATCTTCTAAAGATCTGCTTTTTGTCAGTTCGATTCAATTGTTTGGCTGAAAGCTTGAAAAATGCAGTGTTGAAGGGAGAAGTTTGATTGAGAATAAGAATCAATCGAAGCATGGGTTGTCTATGTGATTTCTGTGCGGAGCAAAGATCCACCGTATATTGTAGGTCTGATGCAGCTAGCTTATGTTTGTCCTGTGATCGTAATGTCCATTCTGCTAATGCCCTTTCAAGACGTCATTCAAGGACACTTGTGTGTGAAAGATGCAACACCCAACCAGCATGTGTCAGATGTATTGAGGAGAGGGTATCTCTTTGTCAGAATTGTGATTGGACTGGGCATTCTGGTTCGGATACAAGTCCTGCACACAAGAGACAACCGGTTAATTGTTACTCTGGTTGCCCTTCAGCTGCAGAACTTTCTGCAATCTGGTCATTTCTGTTAGATTCCCCTTCAGTTGGAGATACCACTTGTGAGCAGGGGATGGGTTCAATGAGCGTCACTGATAATCAGCTGATCGATTGCCAAGGTTCCCAAGAAAAGAATGATATTCAAGATGCATCTGTTGTAATGGAAGCTAGTGGCTTAAACAATATGGATGTCAATGAATCAACTGTTTGGATGAGATCACACATGCCTTTGTTTGACCGGAAGCTACATAACACAGAACAGCCAGTTGGATCTTCTAATCTTGCTTTGCCCACGGTAGCAAACAATTCCATAACATTTGTTTTGAAGAGATATAGAGCTTAATTTTCTATTTATCCTGCCAAATTTCATCAATTTGATGTACTCTGATGAACATTCCTGAGATGTAGGGAGAACAACAGAGCTACTAATTTGTCGTCTCATATGACCTAGTTGCCTGCTGCCCTACTCCACGTTGCTTGAACCTTGCCATCATGAACTGTCCATGCAAATTTATACTTATCCCCTATTTGGCTCTCTTTATTTCAGAACTCTTTATTTCTTATACTCATTTTCAACCACACATTCACACAAGAAAATATTTGTTCTTAAACCCAAAAATTTTCTCTACTTTTTAACCCTACAATATCCAGAAAATCACTATTCAAAACATCATTTTCCCCCAATTTCTCTTTATAATGGCCATCGAACAGGGGCTTAGCCTTGTTTCTTGGCCTGTTGTATTATGGCATTCTAGTACATATCAGAATATTTAGGTAATTTAAGGATAATGAAATCCTCAACTAGTGACTCCCACTCCTGGAAAGAATGTAAATAAATAAATAAATAAAAAGATCTCGACTTCTGGAACAATGTTGGGCTTGTTTCTTTTTCTACTGGAGATTTTATGGTCTTTCTTCTCTGCCCTGTTGTAAGTAGTTTGCAAGACTTGATGCCTCAAGAATTTTAGATTAGAATTTTGGGATTCAGATCATACGAAAATACAAGATTCTCTTCTATAACCTAACTCATACGAAAAATAGCATGATATAATATTCCATAGAACCGTTTCAACTCCAAGTTGTTTTAGGCACAATCATCTTCTCCTGACTGAAAGTAAATTATTGTATTTGTACCTGTCCCTCGTTTACTCTTTGTGTACTCGTTATTGGCTTTCTTTTTTAAAGCCCTTGCATATGCATATTAGAAATTAATCAATATTGCTTTCCTAACATGTCAGTACTTATGATTGCCAATGAAAAAGCCCGATACATATTTTGTTCGCTACGCCTGGAAGAATTCTTGCTCCTGATTACCAATTAAAGATAGAACTTGTTGGTTCTAATTAGTAAAAGAAAAACTTGAAGATACAAACGACAAAGTGACTAATATGAAAGTATTTGATAGTATGTACTTCAGCCCGTAGATTTATCATTTGTAGAATTGAAACTAAAATGGATTGGGCTCTTCATGTTTCCCTGAGAGGAGCAGCAACTTAGATGAAGGGTATCATGATTATCAGTCATTTATTTTTTACTCTGTTTTCATGCAAATATTAAAAATGTCTTTTGTTACACTATTGCAGGTCTTC